AGATAGTGTTTAGGGGCGTCGCCTATGCCAATAATAAACAATTGTCCACACGCCTCAAATTTATGATCAAGTGGGATTCATCAGTCAGCACACTTGTGTGAGACTTAGATGGGAATGTTTGGTGCATCTGGAGTTGACTTCTCTTAACTGAAAATTTAGGAGGATGTTGCTGCATGAGGCCCAGTAAGTACCAGTACAACAAAATGCATGTTAGCATCTAACACTATACATAACTGTAACATGTACAGTATGAATAGAAATCAGGAAATAGTCTGCACTGTAATGTGAATCTGGTAATGTGTAACTTGTACAGGGCGGTTCGAGTTAAATACAGCTCGTAAAATATAGATAACATAGTGCAAATAAAGAAAGCACTGAGCCTGAGATAAATGTAGAGTATCTTTATTCGGACCATATTTTCAAACTTCTATGTGTGTTTATATATTATCCTTATGATTTGGACAGTGTGCAGCATTTGAATCAGGAAGCCTCCACTCAGCAGGTTTACCTCATTTGAATAGAGAAGCTGGAAGTCTGTTGCCCAACATCAGGGAGACCATTACTCTTATCCTGAGCCATAGTTCACAAGAAAACAAAATCACGAGAATTATGTATTCTTAATTAGGATTAATGTAGCCTAAAAGAAAGGCTGCGTCTCACTGAGGTTAAGAAGCAAAGGAGGTGGTCTATTTGTCTGTTTCTTGTCTGTGGCTGTCTCGTCACCCGGCCACATGCTCCATCAGAGTTTAAATATTCATAGCCCCACCTCTGAATATTCATGAGGCCCCTATTAATATTTATGAGCTTAACTTGTTGAGGTGTCACTCGATCTTTTGTACACACATGCACACACAGACATTTACACACACTGATCAGAGGAGATAGTTGTGTCTACATGGGCAGATTCATAAGCAGTGGCGTGAGTTACTTTGGACCTGTGATGTCATGGTAAATAAAAATGTTGGCCTTCTGTTAGCAGTCAAGCAACATCCATAAAACTAGTAACTATCTAGCAACCAAGTAAAGCAATCACATTTTGCTTTCTTGCCGAGAGTTAAATGAGAAACATATTTGTACGACATTAGAAGTTACAGGCCGCTGGTTGGCTTAGCTTTGACTGGACATTCGGGAAACAGCTAGCCTGGCTCGCCTGTAAGCACCTCTAAAGCTCACTAATTAACATATTATATATCATTTCTAATCTGTACAATCTTGTGAATCTTCACTTCTGCTAGGCAACAAGTTTACCCTTCACAGCCTTCCTAAGAGGAGGAGGGCCACTCTACTCCCAGTTCCAGTAAGGTCTTTAAACAGACATCCCTGCTCTTCAATGAGGCTCTGGAACTGATGTAACAGTATGGCACACACACACACACACACACACACACACACACACACACACACACACACACACAGAGTCAGCTGTGCAATTTCTAATGAGGCGTGTTTATGTAACAAGCTACAACAGTAGTGGGTATTACTGTGCTACTCGCAACGGGAAATGAGCGCCACTGAGTCTCTGTCCTGTATACACACATGCCAACCATAGCGCCAGAACTAGCAGACAGCAGGTGTGTGTGCGCGCGCGTGTGCGTGCGTGGGCGTACTGGATGACTCCAGTTAGATTTAGCTATTTGTTCCTTTTAAGTCGATGAAGTGTCATCCAAACATAACAAACCTGTGTGTGTGTGTGTGTGTGTGTGTGTGTGTGTGTGTGTGTGTGTGTGTGTGGGTGTGTATGTGTGTATGTGTGTGTGTGTGTGTGTGTGTGTGTGTGTGTGTGCGTGCGCGTGCGTGCTTGTGCGTCAATGTCTGCTTGCTTTTGGATGACGCACATCCTGAGACCGGTGCTCAGTTATCTCTGTAGTTTGTAGTATAGGCCATATGTGTACAGTATTGCCTGTTGTACATATATGCACCAGAATCACAAAAGCAAAACAATTACATTAAATTAAATTATATAGTATTTACCCTGTATTTTGATATCAATAAAGTGAAATAACTAATAGCTACTGGTGTGTCATTACAGTATTTATTGTCAATCAGGGGTGGTAAAACTTTAGTTAAATTGAAAACAAGTAGTACCTGAAACGAAAGTGACATTTACAGGTTTGTAATAAAGAACAACAAATAACATTAAATTCAACAATAACAATAAATGCAGTCCTTTATCCCTAAGAGTAATGTTAGGCCTTTAAGTAACATATAAGAGAATGCTACATTTGATAAAACTCTTGTCTTCTAATAAGTAGCATACTCTGTCGAGGTCTACAGTGTTTTTTATTTAATTAATTTAATGAGAACATCCGGTATCATGCCGTACTTAAGAGGAGTATTCTTGGTATTGATTAAGCAATAAGAGAGAATTTGTTGTTCTCTTTTCTTAAGTGTTGAAATCAGTTCTGAGATTCCCAAAACTATTTAAACAGGGTCTGGTTCAATATAGATATAAACTACTTGAGAAAGTTCAGAGATGTAATTTTCTATCTTGGGACAAGGGGTGAAGCTGTGAAGTCGGTCTGCCTCCTCCAGGCTACATTTATCACATATCGGAGAGATCTCGGTGTAATTTTGTCTTTGAATAATGGAGTCTGTGAATGACTTTGAACTGAATGAGACGAGAATTAATGGAACTAGAATGAATCTGCTCTGGACGTGATGCTCCCATCTCCTCACAGATCTGTGCTTCCAGTTTATTCTCCCATTTGGTCTTCTTACGTATTGTTAAACATCATGAAAATAAAGCACGGCCTCAACAGGACCTGTTTATAGGGTGAGACGTGTGAAAGAGAGAAGCAGTTTTAAAATTAGCTGTGTGGGTGTTTTGGATTTACAGAAACCTGAAGATGGTATCCGTAGGAAGTCCACATTTCTCTTGCAACTGAAGCGAAACAAAAGAAGCGGCAGTTACACACAGATGAAGGTTAATGACAGTATGTTACCGTGAGAATGAAATCGATAACAAGTGACGGTAGTGAAACACCATAACAAACACATTGCATGAGAAGGAATCAGAGGTTAACAGTTCATTATTGCCCCTGGACCCGAGCAGCTTAATCTGGCCACTCCCCCATTTAATTACATTTGTAAAGGATGGGTGCAATCAAGGCTGTATAGTTGTCCCTGGACCAGCACATATGGCTTCGGTATTTTTAAAATGGAACTGGCTGCGATAGATATAAAACTTTGTATCATTCAACAAGATGCCATCCACGTAAAAAAAGATATCGTATTACTTGTGTCTGCTGTGGTGAAACCAAAGATAGATGAGCTTTGATGATTCAGCTTCAGATGGGCTCTGTGGTGAGTCCAAACAGACATGTGTGTCTCACACTCAGGACACTGAGGTCTGCTTCTCTGTATGACACATGGTGTCTTTTTAAGGAGCATTCTGATCATTTTTTACACATAAGATCTCTAAATTGGACAGTTTATACACACGTTATCACCAGTAATGAAATGTAAGTACATTTCTAGTGCTATAATACAGTTTTGAAGTACTTGCATTTTACTTGTGTATTTCCTTTTTTTATGCAATATCATATATTTTGTGCGTTTTGCTCCGGTACAGTCACTCATCAGCCAATCAAAATGATGCAATTTTATAGTTTAAAACACTGATTAAAGAGATATCTGCACACTTAGATGTATGCAGTGTTACTCTTCATTTGAGATGTATTTGAGGTCTCACATACAGTATATTCAACTATGGACAAGCAGGTAAAAAAAATACCCAATCCCACTCCAATCATTTTATGCAACACACCTGTGCACACCGTGGTGGTAGAAGCTCAGTGTCCTGAGTGTAGCTATACAGCCTTTAAGTAAAGCGTACAGATGGAAGCTACACTTACACAACACAGAAATTAAATTAATGTACATTATATAATAAATCACAACAAGAGCCAGGAGATATAGTCTGTATATTGTGCAGTGTTTTTGACTCTGCATCTCTTGTTGTCAATTAAATGACCTATAGTAATATCTGTTATATTAAAGTAATGAAGTAATGAAATGAAAGTGACATTTACATAACATGAAATTCAAATCTAAATGCAGTTCTTGAGCCCAAGGATTAATGTTAGGTCTCTAGGTAACATATGAGAGGCTGTCAAACTCTACAAAGATGTCCTATAGTATGCTTTTAGTGTCTGCACTGTTTGACCATCGCGGCTTCATTTGAACATGAATGTCCTGTTTCTGCCAGTACATGAGAGCATTGGTGGAGGACTTATTCCGATCCTTTGAAGTAAAATCATTAACACAATTTAAAATATACATTACAGGTAAAAAGTCCTGCATTGAAAATGTCACTTAGGTAAAAGTATTATTAGCAAAATGCACTTAAACTATCGAGCAAAGGTCAATTATAGTACTCACAATGCATTAAAGGGCCCTTGTGATTGCAAGCGTTATGCAGTTGGAGCTCTTAAAGGGGATGCTCATTTCCATCTCATATAGCCTATACTGTTGGGTAGTATGATCTATAACAGTGCAGGTTATATGCGTAAAATCGTAACGTGTTAAGGCCATAAAGCTAATAAAAATCTTTATAAATCAAATAAATCTTGTCGAGTGAAACGTAGCCTATGCAATTCTTTCTGAATTGCACAAATGTAACATAGCATGCAATGCAAATACCTGAAGTACACATTCATTTGTGCTTACTGCCTACAGTAAAATGAGCATTCCACCACTGTAAGCTTAAAGCTTTTAAGACGGTGTTTTAATGTTGTGTCCCCTCAAGTGTTGAAGTCTGTTGCAGTAATATTGCGCTAGTGAAGAAAATTGAATTGAGTTAAAGTGAAATGGAAGACAAAGAGAGACAGACAGTATGCGAGCGAGAGACAGGGACAGAGATAGAGATGAGTGGGCCGTTGGAGGGCTGGCTCTCGTGCATTCCTCGCGTGTGTGTGTGGGCGCGTGGCTCAGGGTTCAGAGCTGTCGGCCCTCCTCCTCCTCCTTCTCTTCCTCCTCCTCCTCCTCCTCCTCCCCTGCTCCGACAGAGACAGGCAAAAGGCGAAGGAGGAGCAACGGACCTCACAGTCTGTAGACACCGGGTGTACAGCAGTCGGTCGGTCGCTAGGCTACACCGGCAGAAGCCCACGGAGGGAGGAAGACATCGCGTCACGGTAAGCTAACGGACATTGTCCCCCCCCGCGCGAGGACGTCTCCTCGACTAGCTTGACTAACGGTTACGGTTACTCCGCCAGTTGACGCTCCTTGCTGTCTTTTCCTCTTTCTTGTACTTTAGCGACATTAATCACACCAGATGTGATGAGTGAAGGTGATGAAAAGAACACACTGGGGCTGAGGAAAATATTTAGAAATTAGCCGAAACTCTACTGAGATAACGGTTACATTTAACTCGCTGCAGTCGCACCGGGGTCTGTAACGTTAGCGACACCGCTGAATGAATGATAATGGTCATTTAGGAGCCATTCATCTGTTCTGTGTTCATATCCTTTTTTAATTTAGCTTACTGTGTATACCATTACTTCAATGAAGAGGTCGGTTTTAACGGATTATTTTACCAGCTGACTCTCTCTATATTTCCGCTTGCTTGTGTGTGTTTGAGAGTACACACATGAGTTTAAAGGCGATTTAAGTTGCCTCTATTCCGCTGTATTTTTCTGTACAGTAGCTATAAGTTCGTGTCGGTGCTACAGTGTACTGTTGTGTATCCTCCGTCCTAACGTCCTCCGTCCTCCGCGCTCTCCACACATACAGCTGACAGCCCGGTGAAGCCCCGGAGCAGGAGGTCCACTCCCTGGGTTAGGGTGTAAAAATAGCCCGGTGTGTGTCAGCTTAGCCTGGGTCACGGTAATGCGACACACACACACACACACATACACGCGCACACACACACGCACTGACACAGAGTCAAGATGCCGTCAGTTTTTTTTTTTAATGTAAACTAGCCCTTTAGCACCAGCACTTCTGTACTGTGTTGTGTACATATGCTGTGTTTTTCTTGAGGTTTTGAGTTCAGCTGCAAAGCGACACAGCTGTCGCACCCACAAGTCACTTCGGTAATACATCTGCGGTGGCTGCCCAGGTGCTGATGACTCAAAAGGCGATGTAACCTACATTTGTTCTCTTAGCCTACTTTCTTTTTTGTCCTTCGCTTGTCTGAAAGTGTGGGGTGAAATAGTGCGATGCTCTGTTTTTATTTTACTTAAATTCTCTGCTGCATGCAGCAAGGAGATAACATTAAACCTGCCTAGTAGGTGAAGACAATATTTCAGCTGCAAATGTAAAAAAAATGCAGGTGCAAAATATGTAAATATTTGTATATATGTATATTTATAAAAATAGTGTAAGAGGGAAAAGGAAAGCAGCCAAATTACAGACTCCAGGGCAAAGCCTGTACAGATTATGAAATATAAAAAAATGCTTTGAGTTTGCCTCAAAATTCTCAATTGTTATTTTAAACCAGAGAGATCTGCTCTCTATTTCTGAGGTTCTCGCTGAATCATTTCCTAATGAGCTCCGAGCTGAGGGAGAAAACACGAAACCCCCTTTTTAAATTCAGCTGCAACCTTAGAGAGACGAAACACAATCAGCTCTGTGACCACAGGCCGTGAAGACTTCTATTTTTCTGTATGGTTTTCAATAAATGGGGAGGGTGGAAACCAAAGAGAGAAAGAAAGCAGAGCAGAATGTCCTTAGAGATGAAAAAAATGAACAGTTAAATGTTTCCAAGTAGCGATGGCAGGATAACAAAGCATACAAGGTTCAATGGTAGACTTCAGAGTTAAACGGTGCAAGTGCCACTGATAATTATAGTCATTGTATTCCGAGATAGATTTTTCATTGGTCTTAATTACAATCAGGAGACACTGGGCTTAAACACTAAACGTTACTTGGTTGAGCTGACAATGGCCATCTAAAGTAGCCTTTTGGATATTTTCCCACTGGCCGGCCTGTGTGTCAGTGTAGATGAGCCAGGCATCTTTTGGCTGGAGAAGAAAGGTGTCCTGGTGAGTAGGTGGCTCTGAGGCTGGAGGCTCCGAGTGGAGCAGCAGATGGATGATGATGTAGCGGGTACTGGCGCTCCCTGCCTCTCGCCGCCATCCGTCACACGCTAATGATCGTGTCACACCTTCTCCCCGGGGCGGCCGGCCGCTTTTGCAGCGCTCAGCTCAAAAAAACTGGGTAGCTCCACTCAAATCCCCCTCTTCACGGCCGCCGGCTGAAAAGCCCGGAGACAGACCGTGCTGCAAGCCTCTCTGTCACTAATTCTTCACTTCCCTCTTTCTCCATCGTCTCCGTTCACCCCTCTTCACCTCTAAAGTCCCTGCAGACGGTTTCCTCGTCTCCCCTCATCCTCTGCTTCCCTTGCCTCCCATTCATCTTGTTTTTCTCTGTAGTGCATCTGCTCCACATCATTCTTTTCCCTCTCTGTCCGGCTCATTCCATGTTCCCGTTCTCTGGTGTTACTCTCAATTCACAGCTCTAGTACAGTTCAATATCAGCCTTCTTTTTATCTTATTTTATACACAATTTTTGTGTTGTGCTGTGTTTTCCTTGCCCCTCCCTTCCGTGATGTCTCAGGTCAGGGTCGGTTGCAGTGGAGTTGGTCTGTTGGACAGCTCAGCAAGAACTCTGCAACAGCACATTTGGGAGTCTCGTCCTAGAGATCAATCATTTATCGTGGCTGTAAAATGTGCGGAAATACCAAAAAAAAGCATTTCATGATTTCCCACAGCCCAAGGTGACATCTTGAAATTAGTTAATTTGTCTGAACAACAGTCAAAAATTCCAAAAATGTTCTGTTTTCTATTATATAAGACAATGGCATTTTTGTTTGAATTATGACTGAAAAAGAGTGGTGCGTTCTGTTCTGTTGATCAATTAACAAACCAGTTATTAAACGTCTAAATAAACAGAATCACACAACAAAGTCCCTTTCTATAATCCCTCAACTCAAGGAGTTGTCACCTCACACAACTAACTTCTCTGGAAAGCATCAATCAATATAGCAATACACCGTTATTGTAATAATTGTATCACAAATAATTTCGATGACATTCCCATTATGATATGATACACAAACAGATTTCTGGCGCCTCTCTACCACAGTAAGGATATTTCTGCTGGGTGGAATCACTGCTGTTATGTCTTGCGTTTCATTGAAGCCGCATGGGAAGTAAACACCGCCTTGGTTGCACATGGACTGACAGATGTCTTTTTTTTTTTTTTTAAAGTGCTATTATCTCCAGTCGGGTGTTAAATAACCATGTTATGGGACTTGCCATCCTCTCAGCTCGTTATTCTGTCCCAGGTGTTACAGGAATAAGTGTCCCCTTGAGCTCTGCGTTACAGCGGCATGTGTCCCCGCTGAATGCAGTGGGCCCTTTGGAAAAGATGGTGGAATGCCACTTCCTCTGTGTATGTGTGTGTGTGTGTATCTCTATGGTCTCGGCAATATTCTCACCACTGGGATCAGAGACTCAGCTCGGCATTGTGGGAATATTAGTGCTGACGGATCAAATGATACTCTCCACAGCTGCTGTTTCTAAGAAAAGCTCGAGGACACACTCCTGCGCACACACACACCACACATGCGTTCACATGAGCTACACACACATGTAAATATGCGATCAAATACCACATCCAAGCACAGGACTGTATGTTACCGTGCACATGCACACACTTCCAATAAAACATTTTAATCAGCAATTAACTGTCAAGTTATGAGAGCGTTTGGGAAGCCTAGACAGAGGTTAACACGCACACACAAGCTTAGCTACTTGATGTCATTTCCAGCAGCGATGCTTTTATGCTCTGGCAACTATTTGATACGAGGGTGTGTGTGTGTGTGTGAAACAGTGTAGTGGTGTTTCTGTTGTACAACGACCGCTCACACTGTTTTTCTCTCCTGTGTTTTGTCGATCTCTTCAGGCTATTTTTCCATTGACCAGTAAAGAGGCGGCAGAGAGAGGAACAGTAGCGAAGGCGAGCACGGGCGGAGAGGATAATTGCATTTCTGACTGCCCTGTGGGAACATGGGATATATGACCTCATCATTCACCTGTGAGGCTCTCCAGTAAACAACTCCAAATAGGTAGGAACAGCGCACACACACACACAAGCTCATGCAAATGCAGGCAAAGGTATCTTTAAAAAAGCAGTTAAATATACAAATGTGGAAGTTAAGTGTCAGCATCACGAGTTTCTGTTCTGTGTTGTTTAGAAGGATGACTGAAGCGGCCGTAGAAAGTACCGATGTCCTCCTAAAGCCCTGTGATGTGAAGTCATGTGACGTCATCAGCTGCTCCTCCCCCCCGCTGTGTCTGTCCCCCAATCAGAGGGAGGACGAGTGTTACCATGTCTGTAAAAAGATGGAGCAGCAGGTGAGCGGCAGAATATAGGTCTAACATTAATGATGTACCACAATATACCCCCCCCCCCCCCTCCCACACACACACACACACACACACACTTCACATGCACACTTTATGACAAATTGTGTCCTCACTCGCAGAAAAACTTTAACCAGGGGCAACCAAAGAAAAAAATTAAGGTAAGCTAAAATACTTCTGCCGCTCATTATTCATTCTTAGTGAAACATCTTTTGCATTATACTGATATATTGTGTGTGTATTTCAGGCCAAAGGAAAGTTAGTGCGGAGTATGGCTGTCTGTGAAGAGTCCTTACCTTTTGAAGAAACCCAGGTAACACACACACACACACACACACACACAGATCACCATCCTACTCCTCATCATCGTCATCATCACCACACTCAAATTATTCTTTTTTTTAATATTCTTCCCTGTCAGGCATCTCCAGAGACAAACATTGCATCTAGCTGCCATGACGGGATAACTTCCTGTAACGAGGAAGAACAGGAGAACAGCACAGATCCAAAGAAAAACTCACTGTCCAAAGGTGTGTGTGTGTGTGTGTGTGTGTGTGTGTGTGTGTGTGTGTGATTGATATCTCATAAAAGAGAGACGAGAGAAAGCAAATAAAACGTAATAAAATGTGATTCAGTGCTACGATTTAGACGTTGTTCTCTTGGGTGTTTAATATTGCAATGTGTTTTTTTTTCCCGTATTTTAATTTGTATTGTCTTGTAACACAACGTGCTCTCAGAGTCCAGCGTGGAGTACACTGACTCCACCGGCATAGACCTGCACCAGTTTATCGTCGACACCCTCAACAGCAACCCCAGAGACCGCATGATGCTGCTTAAACTGGAGCAGGACATGATCGACTTCATCACCAGCGATAGGTGTGTGTGTGTGTGTGTGTGTGTGTGTGTGTGTGTGTGTGTGTGAAGGAGACTACATAACCTTGGGTCCTCATTGAGCTGTCTAGCTGTTTAAATTAAACTTGTATGCCTGCTAAATCCTATTAAAGACTGAATATGGTTTTATGCTAATTTGAAATATGTTTCCAGCTCGTTTATTATAATTCTGTCCATACAGCTTATTTTGTGTATTGATCAATATAGTGAGCCAGTTATGTTAGCGTGGGTGTGTTTGAGCCACTGGGGATTAAATTGAACTTGAGCCAAAAAAATTGCAACCAGTCTCAATCTCCCTCCTTCTGTTGCCTTCTGTGCCGCCTCTCTCCTTCTCTATCTCTTCCTCCCTCGTTCTTTATTTGCTTTCTTCTCTGCCTCCCTTTTTTCTTCCCCGTTTCACATCTTTGTTATCCTGTCTTCCCACATCTCAGTCCCTTTAAGAAGTTCGCTCACATGTCGTCCTACCATCGTATGCTGGTCCATCGGGTGGCGGCCTACTTTGGCATGGAGCACAATGTGGACCAGACAGGCAAGTCTGTCATCATCAACAGGACCAGCAGCACCCGCATGTAAGCTCACAAAATGCTTCTCCACATGTAGATCCTCGCCTTTTAGCATTTACTGAGAGGTAACGACGGCTGTTTGTTTTTTAAGACCAGAGCAGCGTTTTCTGGACGAGGTGCACAAGGACAAGAAAGAAGAGATCCACCGGTGGAAAATTATTCTGAAGAGAGACAACAGCTCAGATGAACAGGTCTGTCCTCCATAGCTACCTGTCTCTGTGGAACTCCCTCTATAATTGACATTGATCTTATCCTATCAGCGTTTTGACCTGTTCTCGCTTCCCTCCCTACAGACCCGACTTCACCCCTTACGGGAGAAGCAAAGCAAGTCAATGGAGGAGAGAGAGGAGGAGTACCAACGAGCACGAGACCGAATCTTCAACCAAGAGGTGAGACAGTGAAGAGAGAGAGAGAGAGAGAGAGAGAGAGAGAGAGAGAGAGAGAGAGA